AGAACATTTTGAAGGTAAAGAGAGAAAATGAGCGGAGCCGGTAAGAAAGTGGCCGATGTGGCATTCAAAGCGTCGAGGACAATAGATTGGGAAGGTATGGCTAAGGTTCTTGTCTCCGATGAAGCTCGCAGAGAGTTCTCAAGTCTCCGTCGTGCTTTCGATGAGGTTAACACACAGCTCCAGACCAAATTCAGCCAGGTCTCTTTCTTTCTCATCTCCTTTACTCTTCTCTCGATCTGTTTTTGATAGAGTTTGTTCAGATCTTTGTCATTTCGATAAGACATTTCGTTGTTTTGGGACCTCGATCTAGCTGGTTTTGAAATTTCTTTTCTCTTTAGAGAGATATAAAGGTTGTAAATTTGAGATTGTTAGAATGCAGAGAAAGAGGAATTTGTTGTGATAATCGATTTCATTGATACCCACTAATCAGAGAACATTGTAGTTGCCTCTTTTGTGTGTATCCACATTTAGATTTTGACATGTTATGAAGACAATTCAGGTCAAGGAAAGTACCGATGCTGATAATGTTCGACTGATCTTGATCCTAGTTCCACTTGTTCATTGATACTTAGTATTCCATCTGCCTTCATTAGTGCACTCTTGAGTCATGTCCTACTTAGTTCTTGTTTTGTTGCCTGTGTTATGTATGAAGTGATTTTATATATTGTTTGTTCAGGAACCTGAACCCATTGACTGGGAGTTGTATAGGAAAAGTATTGGTTCTGGCATAGTGGACATGTACAAGGAAGCTTATGACAGTAAGTACAATTGTTCTTCTCTTTTCTTTTCCTTTCCACCTGTTTGTGTTTGATTGTTAAGTTGAAGTTTTCTGTGTGGTTTTATTTACTCTGGATCTGCTTGACCGGTGACTGAATTGAATTTCCTGCAGTTGTTTGTGTCCTTTTGATCTCTAGGAATGGTTAGTATAGACAGAAGAGAGAAAGTATAAGAAACTATGCTTTTTTTGCTGTTTCTGTTTGTTTTTTGACTGCTGAAATTGTTGTGAGGATAGAGAGAAGAAATGTATAAGAACCAAAGCTGAATCTCTTATTGCTGCAGGCATTGAAATCCCCAAGTACGTGGACAATGTAACTCCTGAATACAAGCCCAAGTTTGATGCTTTGGTAAGTAATACCATAGAAACTACAGATTGTTAAGATATGTCAATATTTAAGTTTTCTCATGTGAAGTTTACAGTGGATTGTCTCATGCTATGATTAGTTGGTTGAACTGAAAGAAGCAGAGCAGAAATCCCTAAAGGAATCTGAGCGGCTGGAGAAAGAAATCGTGGATGTCCAAGAGATTAGCGTAAGTAATTTGGAACACCTTTTGTTATATTATAGATAAGGAAGGATTCTGATATTAACATATTGTTGTGCTGAGGCTCACAGAAAAAGTTAAGCACAATGACGGCGGATGAGTACTTTGAGAAGCATCCAGAACTGAAGAAGAAGTTTGATGATGAAATCCGCAACGACTATTGGGGATACTGAGGCATTATTTACAAAAGACACTCTCACTCTTTCGCTCTTTGTCTTCACTGTGTATTTTGTGAAGGTTATATCCATATCAATAATAGGCACTACCAAGCAGTGATTTTGTACTGAAACACTACTCGATCGATTATGAGTTTATCAAATGCACAACGTTGCTTCTTTTCATCAATATTTACTCTAAAAGAAAAAGGCTCTTTGATTACTGATCACAGATTAAAGGGTTAGGGTGTGTTATCTTGGTAAGGAAAATGGATACGAATGAAGTTGTAAAAGTCAAAAGAATCAATCGATCGTAGAGGAAAAATTGGTTTAATCTGGAGTCACTGAACCAGGGAGGGTTTTACAAAAGAGTAGATACAAAACAAAACAATTAACTCTTTTCTGGTCAAAATTTCCATAGTAGAATTGAACAAAAGAGGAAAGTGCGTCCTGTCCGGCTATAAGCTGCCCCAAAAAAACTTCCAAGCAGCGAAGCAAAGCAAAAGACCAACTGAAAGGGAGAGATATTAGCAAAGCTTCTTTTGACCAAGCTGATCCACCAACACAGCTTCCTCGTTCTTTTTCATAGCTTTCTTGGCTAATTCGTAGCCAGCAAAGTTCATTGCACCAAGAGGAGCCACCCAGAAGAACCTCGGGACTGCTCCTTTGAATAAACCAAGCGGTCCCTCGTGACGCAGAATCGAGAAGGCTACCATCGACATTGAGATCGGTCTCCCTGGTGTTGCAGTCATCATTCTTGTCTTCATCACATCAAACGGCGTTGTTACAACTGCTGCTATACCTCCTGACACTGCCCCAACCGCTATTGTCTCCCATGCCTCCAGTTCTCTTCCCAGAACTTGCGCCACCATCTATAAGAACTCACACAAAACCGCATTCAATATACGATTTATAGTCTTAACACTTTTGATCATCTCATCATCTCGGTTTTGTTACCTTTTTGGACTCTGCATACAGTCCCATGCCAACAACGTATAGTGGAACTTCACGGCAAAGCGTTGCACCTGTCCCACGGAAAAATCCCCTTGGACCATCTTGCTTCCACGTCCCTACAATAGCTTCCCCTACATTGTTAAACATGCCAGCCTGCAACCGTTGCTTCAGCACCTCACATGGAATCCGCACAGCTGTGCCTAATAGCGTGCTGCAGAATGATGCAATCGATTGAACCTGCATAAAATGGCTCAACATTGCTTAAAGACACAAAAACAAATAGATCAGAAAGCACAAATGCAGAGGATGCCACTTTTAATAGAACGTAGTTGGCTTCCTCTTTTTAACACCATACATAACTTCATAAAACCAAGCAATTAGTAGACCCGTAATTGAAGCAGCAGCAGGTATATACTATTGCAGCCATAAACTTTACATAACTACTTGCGCTTTATAACTAAGGAGACGCCACTATAAGTGAATATAGAGTGTTGTACTATACGACAAAAAGCATCACTGAAACTACATACTGAAATATAAACTATATAGTCTTGATATTGGATTTCGCAGAATGCCTCGCTTACTAGATGCCATATATATAGGACAAATGCAGTACTGAGGTCTCTAGGAAAATGATATGATGTCGGGTTTTCCAGAGGACAAGTGCAGTTTTTAAAGTGTTTTCCAGAGGACAAGTGATCATAAACATAAAAAGATGAGACTTGAACTAGGAAACAGAAGCCAATCAGCATCTATAAGAACCCATAATGAAACATCAACTTGGCACAAAAGTTAGAATTTTGACGAAACTAGTCAAACAGTGAGTAGAGTGATTATCACCTGAATTTCTGGGAGATTGGGAGCAAAATTGATCAACACAAGTTTACTTGCTTCAAATATTCCTGTCCGCAGGCCATGGCTGCAACAATGAGAGAGATTTAGCCACATGAAATGAAATTTGACAAGTAGAAGCAAAAATATCCTTGATTTGAAACAATTGAAAAGACCTTGAAAATTGTCCAAGAATCGCTGGAACAGAACCCCTATATACTCCCCGGACGCCAATCTCTGGAAGCTTTGCTATTACTTCAGGAAATGATAAGGTTGATGCTTGCACACGTGTCTGGCAATGAAAGTGATAATGAATACGTCAAACCAGCATAATGCCACAAGAAACTAATAGGAATGATTTGCATACTATATCTATCTAAATGCATAAACATTATAGAAGCAGATATGAATCTGATGGAGGACTCACCTTGATTGTGTCAATTGGATGCAATAATGAAGTGGAGAGAGCAGAGGCAAGCCCTCCAGCTAATGCAGATTTTAGAACATCTCCTGCAGGTAAGGCCACAGGGGGTGCAACAGCAACAACAGTTGCAGCTTCAAACCAGATGTTACTATACAAGTAAAAAGAGCACCAATCACCATTAGTACGACAACAAAAATTACAGGTGTGGAGTGTTTAACGAAATAAACATGAAAGAAATGAGATTGACTAAGAGGGAACTGGCCCATTTCCGCACTTGTATATTCAAACAGTTCAACTTCTCAAAATTGGCACGTTTCAAAGTATAGACAAACTGCTACAACAGAAAAACATCATTATAGTTCTGGAACAAAAGAGTTATACTTACCGAGGATCATCTTGTAACCGCTCATATGGCAGCAATACCATAAAATTACGGAAATGTCCATATGAGATAGATTCCTCGGTATCAGCCCTCAAAAATTTCATCATTGCTATAGCATTTTCTTCATTGGCAGGAAGTCCTGCATTATCTAGTGATGCCAATATCTCACTCTTCTTAAGAGTACCAGACTTGGTCAAACAAAGAGAAGTATAGGCCCGGAGAATGGTTGGCTCCTTCTGTTCCATCAAGGACAAAAATTGCTTCCAACCAAACGATTTCGAGAATAGATGACTCCTAGCTCGCCTCATAAATTCCTTGGCATATCTTCTGGGCAATTTTCTTCTCCTCATTGCAATTTCCAGATCTTCCAAAGTTACCTTACCATCACCATCTCTATCTAATTCTTCAAAGAACCTCCTACCTGGAAGTCACAGGGAGTTATATTGGAGTAGATTATAGTACATGACATAAACACCCAATGCTAATCTATTTTTCAAAAGATATAAAGAAATGTGTCCCTTATATCAGCAGACAATCTAATATTGAAAAACTGCAACACTCATTACTTAAGTTGTAACAGTTGAGACATCAGCTTAGGGTGATAAAAGCGAAGACATGAAATAGTAAGTCTGTAGTCATAGCAACACCAAATTCTCCCAGCAGTGAACTTCAAGGTTTGGCAAGACGAGTAATAGATATGCAATGCCAACAAGCTGCTCTCTTTGTTTACCATGTTGCTAAGAATAGGTTCTTAATAAAAAAATGGGATTCATACCTTCAGACTCAGTGTATCTGAAAAAATCCTGAACAGAAATTAGTTTTTTCTTGTCCGGATGGTCTGCTGAAGGTCGTCCTAACTGCGGTAAAAGCTCAATGAGTTCAGTCAATGAAATCGTGGATAGTGTGGACTTCAAGCGCTCCACATTTGACATAGGTATACTCAGTATCCCACCAGCAATCTTCTGTGGAGTATCAACTGCACTTTCCTCCTTACCAGCATTACTGTCATCACCATCTTCACTTTCGGGAGATGTTAGCCCAACTATACCTGACGCTACATCTCCAACTCTAGCAAACATCAAGTTCCCAAGGAATCCATTTACGTCGAGTTTTCTAGCCTCCCAAATGTTAAAAATAAGTGGAGTATCATCAGTTGGAGAGAACGCAAGAGGTTCCTTGGAACAACAAGATTCATTCTGTGAACTGTCCTGCAAGAACTGGTCAAGCTTCTGGAGATTCTGAGCCAACATTTCAATAACAAAACCCATTGCGCATTCAATCGAAAAAGGGTTCACTTCCTTCTCTGTAGATTCACCAAACTGGCACCTCATTTCTTTCGGATTCACAAACGAATTCCTTGACTTAAGCTGCTCTCTTTGTTTACGTGAATGCAAAAGACTCTTCTCATCATCTCCTCCCATATTATGAATCCTCTTCTTGCCTATCTTGAAAGGAATAGGAAAAGCATGGACAAAGCCACTGACCAACAAAGACCAAGTCATCGCAAACTTGAAGCAATTCGTACAAGAATCATCTTCTTTCTCCAAACACTTTTCTTTCTTCACCACTTCGTTTCTACTACGACTCAACTTCTCAAAGAGTGACTTCACAGGGATCTTGATAGACAAACCTTTCTTTCTCTCATCACTTACCACACACTGAAGAACATTACTACTATTATCCTCTGAGTCACAAATCCGCTTCTTCCTGTTTCTTCCAGACGATCCCAAAACAAAACCCAGATCCTTTTCTTTGCTAATCCAGCAACTCTCGATGTCTCTGGCCGCCTTTTTCACCCCAAGCTCAATCGGGTGAAGAACATCTTTAACTACTTGGATTGGATTGAATACAGTATCGATACGATCATTCGCGGACACCATTGCGTCACCGCAACATTCAATGGGATACTAAACGCAACACAAGATCGAATCCAGTAGAACCCTAGAAAACAAAAACGGACGAATCGAAGTTCGTAAAGAAACCCAAGGAAAAGAGAAACCCTAGAAAGGAGTATCGAGCGAAGGATTCTCAGAAAGGTAGCGAAGGCGATTCAGATATCAATCTGGGCATTGAGAACACTGACCCGAGAGAGACGAAACGAGAATCGGAAAGTGAAATGAAGAAAAATGGAGAAGAAGCTAAGCTTTTAGGGTTTGAAAATGAGAGAGAAGATATGGTGAGAGTGGGAAGAGAAGAGGAAGAGGAAACCATGAAAGGATGATGACCCTGCTTTATGTTTC